TGTATATCTGTGTATGCTTTTTTTTTTTTTTTTTTTTTTTTTTCTTCTTCCCCCTTCCTTTTGGAAATACATTACCCAACGTGTTTCATGTCTACATGTTTTTATAACATGTAACAAAACTCTTCAAGTAAAAATTGTATTATTTTGAATTATATTCGACGTTATTCTACTGACTCTTGTTTGTACGAGCAGAAAATATGCTCATCCATTAACGAATTGCGAACAAACAAACTCAAGAAAGCACGGACATGGGGGTAATATGTTTGTTTAATTTGTTTCTCACTGAAACAGTCGAACTCAATAATATGGTAACAAAAAAAAAAAAAATGAACGAGGTCAACCAAGTGACCCTTCCAGAGAAACATAATATCACCACCACCCCATGTGCTGGAAATATTCAATGTGTCACCATCATCATAAGTCCTGTTTAGGCGCAAACAGTTTTCACTCTTTTCGAAATAATCTGAGGAACAACAAAAACATGCGAAATGCAGATTCTGCACAATACTGTCCACTACATATGTTTCACACTGAAAGTATTGGCCGCTCGAGCCGTCTCCCATTTGGACCTTCCACGGTAATGCATTTCTTGTTCTTTTTTTTTTTTTTTATTATCTATTTTGTTGCCCTTTTCCGTTTCTCTCCCCCCATGATTGTTTACCTGTGAAAAATGCTTTTGTATATAAGGCACACACTTGGGGAGGAGGGAGAAAACTCACTAATACACAAATTAAATTATTATTGTTAGACAAAGGAGTTCACTTACATCTGTAGTTTCGTTTTGAATCAAGTCTTCCATTCTGTTAGCCAATCATATTGGTTGGAGGAAAAGGCAATTCGTGCTTAATTCAAAAAGGGGAAAATGGCCACTACGTATGACACCAACCCGTTGCTTGTTAACCCTCGCAGTTGTCTTTAGGGGGATGAATTAACATGGACAACGAAAAATACGCTAAGCTACCACCTCCAAACCATACGCATATGTGTATACACGAATTAGCACGTTTAAAACACTATTGGGCGATTCGTTTTAAGATTCATTCCATTTTTTTTTTTTTTTTTTTTTTTTT